TCCCGTGGCTCTACTCAGTCCAGGAACCTGCTGTCTGCCCCAGCCCCTCCTCCATCCTATGGTGAGCCCCGTGCCTGGTCGAGTATGACCATGCCCTGGGCATCCTGGCTCTCAGTCCATGCCTGGATCATGCTCTGCCTCTGAGTCTAATGAAGGTGTGAACCCACCTTCAAAGCTCAGCCTCAGGGCTGGTGCCTCGGCAACCATTCAACCAAGAGGGTTTCTCCTTCCTTTGAACATGCTCAATGTGTTCATTTTCTGTTGCTTATGGCTCATTTAATTTTGAATCGCAAAGCTGGTGGACACATCTTATCCCCCTTCTAGACTATAAATCTGGGAGATTAAGCCTTGAGTCTGGGGTCAGCTCTCACTTATCTCTACCCAGTCTCAGCAAAGAGCTTGGACAAACTTGTAGAATGGATGAATTTATCTGAATAGTGTGTGTGGTGGGGGGAGGGGGTCACGTAGTGGTAAGTGCCATGATAAACATAAGTTAGAGCGATGTACAGGGTGACTAGGAACTGGCTGCAAGGGCTCTTAGAGGCATGAGGGCTGAGACGAGGGCCATGGGAAGATCTGGGTATGAGCAGTGCAGAGGGAGATGGATGGGACTAAGCTTTAAGGTTGGGGAAGATGGGGAGAGATGGGTGCCAGGCGCAAATGGAAGGCAAAGAGGACTTGCTCGTGGGTCACAGGGCGATGAGCAGACAGTGACCCGTTCCACCGGGAGATGGTGCTGGGCGGGCAGGGCAGAGAGTGGAGTGTGCAGAGCTGTGGACCACAGCATGGACTCGAGCCTGGACTCTATTTGCAGTGTTTGAACTAGGGCAACTTTTCTGGGTCTTAGTTTCCTCATTTGTAAAATATCTAATATTTAAAGTTCTTGTGAAGCATAAATGATATAATGGAAATAAGCACCTATCATGCAGGACTCTATCAATGATAACCTGTAATCCAGGTAATAACGTAAAAACCAGGTAATAATCTAAAACTATTATCAGGTTAGGGATGACCAGGAACATGGTGCCAAAAGACCAAATGAGCACTGTCCTCAGGAGTCGGCCTCGCTCCCTCCCTGTTGGTTGCTTCCTCCCTTCCCTCCTCTGCCTGACCTCTCTCTCCTTTACCTTTCTTCTCTTTTTCCCCCACAATTTTTTACTTTTGATTTCCTTCACATTATTCCAGGTCACATCATCTCAACTATGCCAAATTTGGAATAAAAACCTTTATAAATGCAGATTATTTAGTATGGTTTTGTTTTCCTTTGAAAGCCAGGTGCGCTTGGTGCTTTCTGCATCTCTCCCCATCAAACAGGAGCCTCAGCAGCATCCACGCCTAAATTAAGTGACTTGACATCGCTGTTTGGTCTGCAGACTACTATTCTTTCCCACTGAGATCACTATCTCTTAATAGAATATGGCTCCTGCCACTGGATCAAAGGATTAGGAAGAGATTGTCTCAAGGCATTTGGGGCCTGGAGCGCTGGGAGGTCTCTCCACTGGCTGGGGAGTGGAGAGGTGGAGGCCATCCAAAGGCCAGGCACATCTGAGTCACTCCAGGGATCCTCTGGACTCAGCCTGGACATTGTGCTCAGGCGCTGGCTGGCCTTGGCACTGGCTGCCCCTGCAGGTGTGGAGCAGGACAAACAGGAGGGAGCGAGCCCCATATTCAGCTCAAGGCTTATATTGAAAGGACTGTGGTTAGGAGAGCCGGGCAACGGGGAACACTTAGGGCAGATGAAGCTCCGGCCCTCACTTGCTGTCCTATTTTTCTGGGAAGGGGCATTCGGTGGTTGGTGCTGGTGGCCATCAGTTAGTAGGTCATCTAGCCCAACCTTCCCACCGAACAGTGGGATACAGAGGACTCAGGGTGAGAGGTCACTGTCCAAGGCCACACAGAGAGGCAGAACTAAAAGCCTTGTGTACTTTCCTCCTTACCAAGTCTCCTTTGGGTCTGGGTGATGGTGGTAGGAACATGGCAGGGTGATATTCTTTCTATACTCTGACTTCAGGGGTCCCAGATGTCTAGCTTCAAGTCGTGCCCTGTAGCCCTTTGTACTCCAAGTCGGCCTTCCAGTGGGAGCAGGGCTGCGTGGAGGAGCCCGGGTCATGCACTGGAAGGCAGCCCAGGACTTAGCCATGGACACAGACAAGCCACACTGGCAAACTAAGAGCTAACTTTTAAAATGGATGGGGTAGCTCAGGGGTTGAGCGCTGACCTATGAACCAGAAAGTTACAATTCAAATCCGGGTCAGGGCACATGTCCAGGTTATGGGCCCAATCCCCAGCAGGGGGCGGGCAGGAGGCTACTGATCAATGACTCATCACTGATGCTTCTATCTCCCTCTCCCTCTCCCTTCCTCTCTCTGAAATCAATAAAAACATTTTTTTAAAATGGATGGAGTAGAGACTCCTCTCCCCACAGAAGCCTACATAAGGTCATATGAATGATTGCTACAACTTGAAGATCTCAATTAGATGCCAGGAAGGAGTTGAGGGAAAATAGCCAACCAGCCTGTGGGTCTGGCCCCTCAAGGCCGTGGCTGCTCTGCTTCTAAGGAAGGCCAATGGCAAATTCTAATGGAAGTGAAGGTTTTGGGCACTGGATTCTTATGCCCCTTTCCCTTAGATGCCTCCCCTTTTCAGGTGGCCCCTCAGTGTCCTTTCTTGGACTGTGGTCTCCAAGAAATGAAGGGGTTGGGGGGGGGTGCAAGGACTGGAAGGGTGTCCTCAGCTAAGCCTGAGCCCGGGGTGCTTGGCCACATCAGTTTATTATTGGCATGGACAACAGCTGGGAATGGCAAGGGCATGCCAGAAGAGCGCCATCCAAGGTCTCATATGCCATATGTTGGCCCTGTGGAGACGAGAGGAATGATAGGAATGTCATATGTTCTCTCTTCCCTACTCCCGTGCTGAGCAAAATGAGACATGATCCTAAAGAAATTTAACAGTGGGCCTTTGGATGTTTCTCTCCTTGAGACATGTTTGGAAAACACTTGTTGCCCGAATGACTGAAGTATTAGAGGAATCTGTCTATTTCCTCTTTTCACTAAGCCCTTGCACGTCAGGAGGGAGACCCTCCCACACACGATGACCCTCAGTCACCTGAGTGTCTGCTTGCACAGACTGGAGGCAAGACGTGCCTCATACCTTCAGCACCACTTCATCGCCAGGAGCTCATACTTATTTCCGTTTTCCACTCTTGGGCAGTCATCCCCTTTTTAGCTAGAATTACTGCCTCACCTTCCTGATCCTAGACAAGAAGGGAAAGTAAAGCAGCCCTTCTCCAGCCTCATGACCAGAGGACGTATGACTTGTACGACCTGAGTGGCTGCAACAAATATTTTGTAGGTGGCGGGAGTCAGCACCTGTGAACAAGCCCTTTTTTGCCTCGGACCAGGATTCTCACATTTCCTGCCAGAACCCATGAAGCTGTGGCTATCTCATTAGCTTGCAAATAGTGTAAAACCTTCCCCATTATTGGCTATTGGCCCTTGATCCGCCTTTGGGAGGGCACAGGGCAATAAAGCTTGAGCCCATCCGAGCTTATGAGATAATTTATAACAGAGGAAGAGAGTGAAAATAGAAGGTGTTTCCTAACGTCCTGCACTGTTATGAAAATTTTTGCATGCCTGCTACTTTGTCATAGCTCAATTAAAAATTAGAGGAAGTCCACTCCCAGGTTGCCCAAAGGGAAGAAGAAAAGTTATTGTTGACGGTCCTTGTGCAGATCGTCTCGGCACAGGAGTCAGGCACCTTAAAGGGAGAAGCACTGACCCTTGAGTATTAGCAGAGGGTAACCCCGTGCACACTCCCGAGAAAGAGGAGGGCGTGTTCCCGGTTTACAGGCAGCAGAAGGGAGATGGGAAGGAGAGACCTCACCAAGAGGGGCTGTGAAACTAGTGTGGCTAACATCAGATTATGACTGAATGTTATTGTAAAAAAAGACACTTTGTTGAGAAGCCCTCTGACCCGTTCTGGCTCTTGCTGTTCTGAACTTTTCACTCACTGCCTATTAATTAATTTACAGCCAACAAAGAATGAGGTTGTCCTGGATCTTTGGCCAAACAATGTACCCACAAACAGGGCCAAGACATGTGGAGCCTTGGTAAGAAGTTTTGGTCTTATCCTAAGAGTGATGAGGGGTCATGAGGGATTTAGACAGGGGTGACGTCATTAGGCCTGGGCTTCAAAAGCAAGTGTAGAGAGGAGAGGCTGTGGAAATCGCCAGCAATGATCTGCTCCTGGGGAACCAGGAGTCGCCACACTGCTCCTTGGTGACTCACTGCAGTCCCAGGCTTGCAACACACCCTCTCCTGCTCTCCTCCTTCCAAGTGGCATTTCAGAAATTCTCGGGAATTTCCCACAGCAATCCAACTTTTCCTTCAATAACCAGCACATCAATTGCTAAAAGGCCTCCACTCTCCAGCCAAGCTGTGGGAAACACTCAGGGAAAGGAACTTTGAGGGGGAGAGTAGGTCAGGCAGGGTGCTGCTGGGCTCCAGGAGAAAATAAAGAACAGCCTTGTTTGGGGTAAGGTGGGTTACACAACAGTTTCAATGTGGCCAAGGGCCTGGACTGAAGTACACAGGCTGCCGGAAAATCCGGTAACTGCTGGCTAGAAAAGCTGGGGAGGGCTTGCTGCAGAAGGCAAGAGAGGCGAGGTCTTTGGAAATGAGGCTGAGCCGCTGGGGGCCCCCAAGTCATCACCCTGATGGCTTTTCAGCTGGCAGGTGATCCATGAAGACCTGGCACAAGTTTTCAAAACTCATTAGGCTTTCTCAATCCCCCTCTGGGGCCCGCAGTGCTCCTCCCTACCACTTCCTAGGCTGGCAGTTCCTTCACTGACAGTTCCCATAAATGGGATGGTTTGGGGCACAGGGGAGTGGAGTGGGACAGGTATAAAAGGAAGTGCGAGGCCAGGGAGGAGGCTCAGCTAGGCAGCTGGGCACCAGGAGCACAGGAAGAGGCCGGACCCTGCCCCTCTCTGCTGCCGCAGGATGGGTCTGAGGGTGGCTCAGACAGGTCTCTGGGCTGGCCACGGGTCTGGGTTGTGGGTGTTCAGGCTGAAGGGCCCAGACAGCCCACAGAGCCACTGCACAGTGGGGTCTGTACCTGCTGGGGGAGGGGCAGAACGGAGTGGAGGGAGAGGAAGCAGAGCCAGGGGAGGGGCAGGGGAAGG